AGGATCGTGATTAATCAGTATGTCACTCAATTAAGGATTTTATATATTAGTATAGATTATTTTTTTATGTAAAAGTGGTTGCCAATATGCTTATTTTAAATAAGACTGCATATACAGGTTGTTAATTTGTTTATTACTCGCGGCAAGAGCTTTATGGTTGAAATATGGCAACCTCGGCCCGCTCGTCGATAGACGACGCGACGCGACGGTATGAGTCAGTAACGAGTCACGTTAATATTTTTGTTAAAATAATATTACTGACTATAAACCATTAAATATCGGTCTAAAAGACGAAATCGTGTTTTTATGCAAATCCAAATAAATATTGTTGGCCTCTGCTCAATATGATAAAAAAACGACGTCAGCGATGGTTATAAAATGAAAATCGCTGTCATTTTTTATGTAAAATTATATGGGGAATGTCATCGATGTTCGCTCCAAGCCAACTGAACGCCATTTTTTTTTCGATCATGCAGTGTAATATACTATTTATTATGATTATTACATCGGAATTAAAATGTGGCTCTAAAAATATTAAATTGGTATTATGAAGTCTTTAATAAATAGTATATTATGTATATGAATTGGACTTATAATTTAATATTATTGGGTAAGATAATAAATCCAATTATGCCAGTTTCATAAATTGTTGTACAACAAATAAAAGAACTGTATATTTCTTTTTTTTTCTGGTCCCTTAAGTAATTGTCTGACCAAATTATCGCCGGTAGTGCCAGTTACGATTGTTGTTTTTATGAAACGTAAATTGTGCATATGGTTCGTTCAAATGAACGAATGGTAGGAGTCGATGAACGAATAGTAGGAATCGTGTGATTCGATTCACTAAAAAGAATCGTAATGCCCATCACTAATATTTATATTTCGATTAGAAAATAATAGAAAATTGCACAAATCATTTTTTTTACTAAAATAAACGAATAAAAAACAACACGGAACAATCCTCGTTCCAAAAATACGCGTTTGACGGGTGGTTCGATGTTGTTATTGACGGAAAATGTTAAAAAAGCTCCCGTTAATATTTTCCTGCTTTTAATTACAAGTCGAAAGCATGTAAGCCAGCTGGGATAAGTTCGTCGATAAAGGATCTGTGGATGAAAGCGCCAGCCGGCAGCGTTTTGTTTGTAGCAAATAAGTTTGATTTTTCGAAAATGCCAGCGGAAAAATGCAATATTTTTAATTAGAAAACGTTCAAGTCTCTGTAAAAACTCGTTTCAGTTGCCATGAATTTATGTTTTTCTTTTTGTTTCCATTTTTATCGTGGACGCAAATAGTTCAGTAGCATTTATTATTTTTGCTTCCAGCAATAACTTTGATTTCTAGGTTTGAAAGTTGTCAAGTTGACAACGGTTGGCCGTTATCAAGTGATGTAAACTAATCTAATTCCTATTCCTGCAGAGCTTTTATACTACTGCCAGGTATTCACCCGTGAAGAAGTTAGGTGCAGTCAACCGTGAGGTTGTCCATAAATTGCATACATTGCAAAAGATCAGGCGAATAGCCAAAAAAACAAAATTAAAACGGTTTTAAAATCTGGATCGACTCTAAGAAGCGTCCTACAAAAACAAGGCCGGAATCATAGAAACAAGAGAAAGAGTGCATCTACCAGGTACCTTGTGCATGCAATCACTATTATGTTGGAGGGCCTAAAAGTCCCCTAAATGTACGGCTTAGCGAGCACAAAAAACATGTACAAAAAGGTGAGAAAATGAAGTCAGGAATTGCGGGCCATTTTTGGTCAAAACAGCACAATATAAAATGGTCGGAAGCTCGGGTTGTCCACAGGGAACCTCATTGGAAAAAGCGTAAATTTAAAGAAGCCGTTTTTACAGCAAACAATAATAACATCTTTAGCAATCCTAGTACGGAAATATCTACTATATGGCAACCACTGACAAAACGAACCAATGCGGGCATTCTATGTGGACAACCTCACGATTGATTGCACCCTTCGCCTTTCGGCCGTGAATACCTGGCATTATAGTTTATAATAAACTGAGTTTACTAATTAAAATAGATATATTTAAGTACAGTTTGCTAAAAAAATCAAGATATGTATGATAGTAGTGTAGAACTGTATGATAGTTTACTAGAGACCTGCATGCCAGATGGAATTATACTCGTTGGTTTTGCAGACGACATCGCCATGGTTGTAACAGCTAGTAGTGAAGAATCCTTGATGAATCTGGCCGAAACCGAACTAATGCGAGTAACAAAGTGGATGAGGAGGTAAAACCTTCAACTTGCACGTCATAAAACTGAAGCAGTTCTACTAACGACTAAGAGAAATATAGCTAGACTATATTTTAATGTAGAGCAAACAATAGTTAATCCAAGTATATAGTACCATTAAGTATCTTGGTGTATTGCTGGACGCAAAACTGGCGTTCGGAATACATATTGACAAAACTGCGCGGAGCGCAGAAGACGATATCGGCATTGACTAGTCTGATGCCGAATATCAGGGGTCCCAAACCCTCCAAAAGGCGTATTCAGGCAAGTGTGGTACATTCGCAATTACTGTATGCAGCACCGGCATAGCATACTATAACACAGAATAAAAAACAACTGCAAAAACTTATAAGAGTGCAGAGAACAATATGCATCAGAGTTTGCTGTGCATACAGAACAATATCTGGTGAAGGTGCTTGCGTTGTAGCTGGAATTCTTCCAATAGAGCTCTAATAAAAGAAAGACATGTAACTTACTGTGGGTTGCCAAGGCAAGAAGCCCGAAGTAAAATGATTACTGATTGGCAAAATAAATGGGAAAATGGTAAACATGGCAGATGGACACATAAACTTATCCCGAACATTGAAAAGTGGATTACTAGAGGCTACGGAGAAGTAAACTACTACATAACGTAAGCGTTGTCAGGTCATGGGTGCTTTCATAAATACGAGTATCTCTTTGCTCGAAAAAAAGACCACCCTTCATTGTATCTATTGTCATGCCGAAGATGACGCAGAACATACTTTATTTGAATGCCTTAGATGGGATCAAATTAGAAGTCAATATTTGCAAGTATTATACAACAAAAGTATTCAACATAGGAAATGTATCAAATAGCTTAGTCGACGGGGAAAATGACTGGGACTAAGTTACAATGATTATATATATATATATATATATATATATATATATATATATATATATATATATATATATATATATATATATATATATATATATATATATATATTATTGAAAATAAAGAGAAGTAGTCCCAAATGATGCAAAGTCTGATAGAAGAAGATTAAGGACGACGGCCGGATAGAAGAAATGCAAAAGCGGATTCCGATGCGGTTCTGTGGCAGGACAGAGGAGATTTTTTTAGCCGGTAGAAATCCGGCACTACCCTTTCGGGGTGTCTTATGCAAGATTTTTTCCCTCCTCAACAAAAAAAAATCAAGAAAATAGGTCTAAAAATATAATACTTTAAATTTGACGAAACATTTTTGCGTTGCGTTTTTTTGTATCTTTTGTATCTGTTTCTTTGCATCTCTTTGCATCTTTGTATTAATGTTGACAGTTATTAATGTTATGTATAATAATAAATAATACATACTTAAGAGTCTTAATTTTGTCAAACTTTATTTTGTTTGGTATATTCCTGGTTGGGAATATTTGTTAGTGTATTATTTTAGTTCAAAAAAGTCAAAATTTCCTTAAAAACTGTTTTTTATACCATTACCTAAACATTATTACTATTTTGCACCTATCTGTGCCAAGTCGAGCACAGCCGTACCATCCTTTCGTTGTGGATCAAGGAAGAATAGTAATTTTCACTACGCATGAAGACATACTATACCTGGCTAGGTTACCATAATATTTAGTAATTATACCTCATAGTTTATGAATTATCACTTGTCAAATTTTCTAAGAAAAAATTGTCAAAAATTCTAAAGTACTTCTAGATGTGTCACAAACTTCAAATTAGGAATTTTAGGTAGCTTTAAGCTTATAATGGAAGGAAAACATTAAAAATCTCGAAATATCCTTATGGATTAAAAGTAAGCTCTCTAGCCGCTAACGGTAACTGACGTTCCAGTCGGGAGAAAGGTAGAAGACTAGAATTAATCGAAGCGGTCTCTTCTGATTTTATTTGTATTATGATTTTTTTCTAATTTAACTTCTTTAACTTCGCCAGTGATTCACTCGCTATTACCAAAATTCTAAGCTACTTCTAGATGTGTCACAAACTTCAAATTTGGAATTTTAGGTAGCAAAGGAAGGCACCCGAAATGGAAGGAAAAAATGAAAAATCTCGAAATATCCTTATGGAGTACCGGTAACTGCCAAGTCAATATAATTATTATAGAAATAAAGATGACTAATATTAATACTAACAATTTATAACAAAATTGTCGAATAGGTGCTTAAAGAGAGACTAAATAAAATAAACTGACTTGGTTTTACATGAGATCTCACAACTTTTTGTAGTGGAAGAATTGTGTTGCGAGTCTTGGCATTTTTTTAAATTCTATCTTTTTGATGGGATCAGTCTTATACATGGACACACTATGTATCCTATTAAATATGCTAGTTTAATAATAAATGGATTTTTAAAACACATAAAGTATATTTTTATGATTCTCTCATAAACTTTAGTGCTTCCGGCAATTCTCGTATACCATTTGCAACAAGTGTTTTACTATCATTCTGTTATATTCTTTAAATTATAATATATATATATATAAGTTTAATTCTGATAGATATTTATCTACTGACCGGCATCGGCATCAAAAATGAACACCTTAAAATTTTCGCGTATTTTAAAGTTCAATATATTTTCTTCAAATGGTTCGATTTTGATAATTTTTTAAGCAATTTGTAAGTGTTTTTTATCTTTCCCAATCGTAAATTTGATGGAGCTTTAATATTATTTAGTCCAGCAGAAAGTAATGTTGTGCTTGGCTACTGCACAATGGTATTTGCTCGATGACATGAAGTTTTAACTATTCCTTTCTGTGTTGTTTCAGATTGGGTCGACTGAAACATAAATACTGCTCGTATGTGTGGGTTTTCTATATCCAGAATTGCCAGTAGATTGGCCACCTCCACAGGAATTCATTTTGTGAATTGAGATGATTGAGAAAGGAATCGAAATGTCTGCGATATATACGTTTGGCCGAAACGTTGTGTAGGTAGGTTAAATTAAATAGACATTAGATGTTCTTTTAATATCAATACTGAATAATACATTCAAAATAATAAATTAATAACAATTCTTGAAAAAGGACAATCCCTTAATTTTGTAAATAAAACTCATGTTAAATTTGATTAATTTACTTAAGTAAAATAGTCCTCATGGGATCTGTTAAATTATCTTAACTTATGTCCTTTGTCCCCTACATTAAAAGAAACAATAAAATAATTATACAGGGTCCGGCAATAGCGCGTCGAGCATCTGTAGCTCTTAAAATAAAAAAATTGGGAATTTTGTTTAAGTACAAACCTAAAGTATGTACTAGGATGTATTTCAGAAAAATATGTTAACTTCTATAGGGTGGCTCAAACAATTGTGAGTGGATCGGGATGATTTTTTTTAAATGGAACACCCTGTATATTATTGCATGTTTGGCTTCCTTTCAGATCACTTTACATAATCCTAAGACATGAGTAAATATATTTCGATAATTTCAGAGATTTTAACAAATAAATAAAAATTATATATTTTTCAGCCTCTCTCAAAAACTTATTAATAATATAAGAACTGTCCTGAAATCAAAACTATATTAGATATTTACTTTATACGGACTGTACTTATTTGCTATAAATATGGAAATCGTAAATCATACAGAATGTTCAAAATTCTACGCCAAACTTTCTAAAATATAAAATAATTTTTCTTTGTTTTTTTAAAGCCTGTAAATTATGTTTTCAATAGGTGGAGAATTATTGCATTTAGAGTATTTCAAAATTTTTAACGGTTTCGCAGATATTCCCGGTTTTGTATTTCATATGGCATTTTCCACAGCAAATTTTTATCAAAGCCACCCATGATTTTTCTCTCATATTTTACCATTGAAAGCAATAATATACAGGGTGTTCCATTTAAAAAAAATCATCCAGATCCACTCACACTTTTTGAACCACCCTATAGAAGTTAATATATTTTCCGGAAATACATTTTTTTTCTAAAATCTGTAAATTGGCAGGGTTGGCATGATTTAAATCACTAGATTTAAATCAAGTGATTTTTTTAATTTTAATCATGTGATTTAAATAAAAAAATCAACTTTTTAGAACTTTAGAATAAATCGAAAAATAAATGTAAAAGTTAATAAATATGTGTCCTAGAAAACTATAAAAAATATTTCTATATAACATATATGCCCTATATCTATTCGTTTAAATGAAATGTTACACTTGCTATTGTAACGTTTAAATACGTTTAATAAATCGAAAAAAAATTGTAAATGTTATAAAACTATATAAAAAAATGATTTGTATAACACATATACCTACCACATATCTATTCAATTAAAATGTTGGACCGATTTTTGAGGTAATTTCATGTGAATCCATGACTTCTAAACGGCAGGGATTTATTTTGAAATTTATTTACAAGTGACAAAAAATGCTGTTCGAATACATTTCATTCGCAATCTCTAGTGCAGAAAAAGGTTCTTTTAATGTTAGGCTATATCTTCAAATCGTTGTCAGAAAATATGCTGTTTTATATCTTTTTATTTTACACTTTGACAATAGATAATATTAATTTCATTCTCGACTTAAGACTATTTCCGAACAATAGTGTATTGTGAAGGAGTAAAAATTATACTTTTTTGACGATGTTGTACGTTTGAGGGACTATCGTAAACAGGGAGACACAAAAGTACATTTTTACTCGAGTAGAATATACTATATTTTTACAAATTAAACATTACAAATCGTCGGTTTACAAGCAAAACACACTAAGTCCAATTATTTTTTATTTTAATTTATTTATATCATTTGATTAGATTTCTCCCAGAATATAGATCTAAGGGTTGTTCACCACATACGACACGGAATATTGTAGCTAAACGATTAGATTTTTACAAATTGTAAGTTTTGGGTTCGTTGAAGGACTATTAGAGCTAAAATTTAAAAATATTTTTACAAGATACAGAGTGTCCCAAATAAATAAAAAATATCAAAGTTGTATTTTTTTAAATGGAACACTCTGTATATTATTACATTTTTAGTTTCTACGATTAAAATAAAGGTAAATTTGATTAAGGTTTATTTCACTTAAACCTTACCGTTTTTGAAATATTTTCAATTTTGTGAAATTGCAGTATAAATTTTAAGGCTTCATTTCTCCAAAAGTATCAAAGTTTTTAATACTAAATATTTACTGAAATTTATTTATTGATCAGTTATTGTGTTGCAATAATAAAAGTTTTACTACCTTATACAGAGTGTCTAAATATTTATTTTAAATAATTATTAGCTTTAAACGGCAATAACTTTTTAAATTTAAATAGAACACCCTGTATATTTTATGAGAATCAGGTGCACAATTTAATTGTCTATCAAATTGTATTATACCATTTTTTAGCTATCTCTTCAAGTTTCCGTAGAAAATGAATTTTATTGTAATTTAGAACTCATTTATCAATATACTCATGGAATACTGACATTTTAGATTATTTTTAAAGATGTACTAAATTTTAAAAGAGTACATATACTAATATTGTTGATATAGTTTGTTTATTTCATTAAAAAATAAAAAACAACTGTTTAAATATTTGTTAAAGAGGATCAATTAATATGATTCCATTATTCAAACTACATTAATTGACTGTTTGCGTTGATTAATAATAATTGCTCCAAATACTAAAAAACTGAATTATGTATGTGTATTAGACAGTGTGGTAAAAAAACTAACACCTTAAAAATGATATTTCATTTTTTGACAAATGCTTATTTATAACAACAGAGACGTTCATTTTCATAACTTATTATTATATTGATTTCTGATTCAAATCCACATTTATTTAGAATAATTTATTAACGAACACAATTAAGTATGTAATTAATTAGTATTTGGGCGGAAATACTGGTGGTATATTTAATTAATGGTATACTCTTTTATAAAGATCTAAATAGTTTTCTTTTTGTGCATACAAATGGGCTAGTAATATCATCGTTTTACTAAAAACGATAATATTACTAGCCTGTACATTTTGTACATTTGTTGTTTAAAAACAATCCTAAAAATGTCAATATTCCATGGGTATATTGATAAATGAGGTCTAAATTATAAGAAAATGCATTTTCTACGAAAAGTTGAAGGGATAGGTAAAAGGCGTATAATACAATTTGATAGACAATTAAATTGTGCATCTGATTCTTATAAAATATACAGGGTATTCCATTTAAATTAAACAAGTTATTGCCGTTTAAAGCTAGTAATTATTAAAAATAAATTTTTAGACACTCTGTATAAGGTAGTATAATTTTTATTATTGCAACACAATAACTGATCAATAAATAAACTTCAGTAAATATTTAGTATTAAAAACTTTGATACCCTCGGAGAAATGAAGCCGTAAAATTTATACTGCAATTTTACAAAATTCAAAATATTTCAAAAACGGTAAGGTTTAAGTGTAATAAGCCTTAATCAAATTTACCTTTATTTTAATCGTAGAAGCTAAAAATGCAATAATATACAGGGTATTCCATTTAAAAAAATACAACTTTCATATTTATTATTTATTTGGGACACTCTGTATCTTGTAAAAATATTTTTAAATTGTAGCTCTAATAGTCCTTCAACGAACCCAAAACTTACAATTTGTAAAAATCTAATCGTTTAGTTACAATACTCCGTGTCGTATGTGGTGAACAACCCTGTATATCCAGGAGAAATTTACTATACCTTCTAAGAATTATTAGTTTAATTTTTAAATTACTTTTATATTTTTTAAACCATTAAAAATGCATTAAAAATGTATTTATTCGTTTTTGGACTTAGTGTGTTTTGCTTGTAAAACGACGAAATAATTTTTTAATCAATTCCAACTGTTGCAAATAATATAAAAGGTAATGCCTTGTAAGTAATCGAGTAACAATTTGTACACTCGTTGAAATTTTACAGTTTTACAGTTTAATAATATATTTTTGTACTTTTGTGCTTAGGCGAAAAAGTGCTTTACTTTTATGCCTAGGCGTTGAAATTACAAAAATTAATACACTTGTTGCATTTCAAAAAAACTCCTTTTGATCTGAAGCGAGCGACTTTTTTGCGAAATATATTGGTGACCGATGTGGAGAAATGACAAACGCACCCTAGAATTATTAATGTTATCGATATCGGGCAGAGTTATAAAACTTTAGCCATTTAGGAGAGGACTTTAATTGGAAATAAGTCCTAGTCATTTAGAAATCCTATTTAAATAGTGTTTTTTATTAAAATCAAAAAAATCAAAAAAATCTGTTTAAAATCAAAAAAATCTGATTTAAATATAAAAAAAATCTGATTTTTTTGATTTTTTTTTAAAAATCATGATTTTTTCCAACCTACTCTTAGGTGAAAAATGGCTCCCTTAAAGGCATATTTTGCATTATTTTTTATTTGGGCCCCCTTAAAATAAATTTCTGTATCCGCCCCTGTCCTGGTACATACTTTAGGTCTGTACTTAAACAAAATTTTCATGTTTTTTATTCTAGGAGCTACAGATCCCCGACGGAGTATTGCCGGACCCTGTATTTAAATAGTTAGAGAAATTTTAATTATATTCTCGAATAATTTAATATTTTTAGAGCAATAAGGTCAATATAATTATGTTTTAAGAGGGATCCAATGTTTCCTACAGGCTCAATTTACCTATAATGATAATTAATATCCGATAGAAAAACTAATTAATCATCAGCTTTCGCGGGGCCATGTTTGAATGACATATTTTTCTTTAATTTTCTGAATGGTACGTATACCGGGTGCGTCTCAAAAGTGGTTCATCCCTATAACTTTTTTATTTTTTCAGATAAAAAGACGAAATTTGGTATGTCAGTATATGACATAAATTAAGATTGATTGACGTATTCAATTGTTTTTGGTCATTTTCTGTTTCACCGGAAATAACTACAACTTTTGATTTTTAAATGGCACTATGCCTAATTATTTAATTTAAAAATAATTTTTTAAATAAAATAACATTTTAAATTTCAATTTAGAGTGTCATGGTCATAAATTTAACGACAATTTGACTCGAAATATCAAGTGCATGGTACCTAATTATTCAAAAAAATCTTTTTTCAAATATGCTAATAAGCCACCCTCGTTCCATTTAAAAAAATTGAGATATGATTAAAAAAATACGATTTGGACATTTTTTAACCAGCCAGGACAAGACATTCCAAGGCTCATTGATTAAAAATTAGTGCTTTTAACACAGACATTAAAGTAAAAAAATACCGAAGGTGCCATTTAAATATGAAAAGTTGTAGTAATTTCCGGTTTTCCAAATTGCGTTTATTTATCTGAAAAAATAAAAAGTTTATAAGAGTGAGCCACTTTTTAGAAACATCCGGTATAGATTGAAAAATAACATAATTTTATAATCCCAAGATATCTGAAAGATTAAACTCTGAATCTAGATATCAACAGGTTTTACGAGTTGCTTTTGACTTTTTAAAAAATATATATCTACATATACAACAGGCGTTAGGTATGAGCAGTATGAGTAAAATTAAATTCTGATTATTGATATTTTTAGAGACTTCTTGATTAACTGAAAAAATTTACCTTTTTTGATTAATTCACATTTGATACGCAATAATTCAAAAAAAATAAAGATCAATAATGAATGTTTAAAATATGATAATTCCCCGGATAATTCATTATAACATGGGATAATTCATTATTAAAAATGATAAAAATAGGTTTCAAGCTAAAAAGATCGGTGACCAACTTATACTTAAATATTAAAAAATAGAGACATCCGATTTTAAATTGATCTTAATTCAAAATATTCTCATATTGATACGCATAGAATATTATTAATATAAATTTAATTTATTTCTGACTCTGTCTACAAGAAATACGATTTCCGCAAAAATGTTCCTTTAAAAGCCTCGATATGAGGGAATGGCACTAAGTATATTTTTTTCTTTTAAAACAAATAAAAAACATGTCAAAATAAACTCATAAAACATTAAAAAGAAGTGCTTTTTTATTCCTTATAAGTTTTGGAAGTTGAAAATCAACAGGTTTCCCCAAGTTGTTTTTTGCTATTCGAAAAAAACATTACTAAGTATAATCTGTTTAAATATAATTTATAAACAAGAATATTAACACATCTTATAAGTACTCAAGAGTTTTATACTTTAAAAACAGGACTATAAAAAAAATAACAAATTAAGAAAAATAAATTTTGTAAAAATATTAAGAAACGTAATAACATCCTAGTAAATGTAATAGAAAAAAACAACAATGAATATTTAAAATATCTCTCTAAGAACGTATCTTTTCTAAAAATAAATTTACCTTTATAAGAAAAATCGTTGAATCTGATGGCAAAAAGGAAGAAACTGCTGCTTTTGCCTGAATTATTTTAAGAAAATCTCTACGAAGAACAGTCTCTTAATAATCTAAGTGAAACAGATCATAAATCTGACCGGTTTTCATGAATGAAAACGTCAAATGTTTCGCGGAAATGCCGTTCAATATGGGACAGAGCGCGGACCGTGTCTGATCGACGAGGAAAATCTCGTCCGACTAAACAGATGAAACTAGGCGCGTTTCCATGGATACGACGCCGACCGACGTCGGAAAACGACGCTCGGCGTCGGAGCGCGCCGCCACGCGCCGCTTGTCAAAATTTTGGTTTACTGGGTGCTGAATTGTCGGAAATTAGTTCTTAGCCTTTTACTTTAGAAGATATAATTCCTATAAAGTTCTGGGAACTTTCTAACCCCGATATATATCTCTATAACTTTTATAGAGTTCTAAGAACTTCTACTTAAGATAAATAAATAAACTAGTCAAAACGAATTAGGGATCACTTTGTTAAATTTGTTTTAAACAAGAAAACATATTTATTTAAACATATGAACTTATATATTCCATATATATGAATTAAGTTGGAATGTAGTGTAAGCATCTTGGTGTTCATGGCGAAAAAAGTTGTGAAACTGTTGAAAATTGTATTTTTATTACGTTATGAATGACTACAATATGTATCGAAAACAATGTTAAACAATTTTTATCTTAATTGACAACGGAATTTTTTTTCCTAATAATGTGTGTGTCTTTCGCGGTTTTTACGCACTTCTGCACACCGATTTGGCATAGACTGAATGAGGCTCCGAATAATCTCTTTAGGTAAGGCGTTCCACTCCTCTCGAAGATTTTCTCCCAAAGTTTGAAGATCTGGTGTTTGTGGACGACTTTGTAGTCTTCTCTTTAGTAGGTCCCAAAGGTGCTCAATAGGATTGAGATCAGGGCTATTAGCAGGCCAATCCATAATAATTGTGATATTGGACTCTTCAAGGTATCGAGTAACTAATCTAGCAGTATGAGGCAAAGTGGAATAACATAAATAACAATAAAGCAAAATGGAATAACATATAGTTCAAGAATCTCATCTCTGTATCGTTCAGCATTAATTATGCCGTCTAGAAAGACATGCAAGTTCATACGCCCATTTAAAGTTATACTTCCCCACACCATGACGGAACCTCCACCAAAATGAATCGCTTCTCTGACTGTTGTGTCCAGATACCGTTCATTCGGTCTTCTGTAAACTCTCCGCCGGGTATCATTATGATTTAGTCTGAAACGGGACTCACTTTTAAAAAAAAGAAGTGCCTCCACTGATCCACGACCCAGTGAAGATGTTCTTGAACAAATCCTTCGTGCCCTACGATGATTAGCAGTTAAATGCGGCACAACAGCTGCTCGACTTGATCGAATGTTAACTTCATGCAGCCTATTTCTTATAGTCAGTTGAATTTCGAGTTCCTCTGGCGATCGTAAGAATATTTTGTAAGTTCCTGGCGCTAAATGTTCCTTTAGGAAGAGTGGTTTGAACAAGATACCGATTTTCCCGCCTTGTTGTCCGCCTTAAGGTTGATTCTCACTTATACCTTCAATATCAGCTCGCAGCTCCCTTCCGTTTACATAAAATATTATATCATGTAAATGAATAGGACAATGCACACTATCCGTTCCGTTTCCCTTCCGTTCATTTTCCATACATTTTTTTGGCGAACTGACTGAAGCGTATCGGAAACAGTGTTGTCAAGCTCTTACATTTGTAACAGCTCTGTTAAAATTTTGCTGATATTTATTTATTATTTTACCGATTCAGATTTTTAAGATTCAAATTTTTAAAATAAAACTTTCGTAATGATATAAATTGTACAATAAAAAGTATGGAATTGATACGGAACGGAAGCTTACGTATAGCGTCAATACAATAAAAAATACGGAATGAATATGGAATGGATATGGAATGGAAACGGAAGGTATAATGCATGTATAGTGAGAATCAACCTTTATTCGTTGAGGATATGGTCTGCGGACATCAAAACCATAGTCTCTGTGTCCATTCCATAGTCTGGAAATGACCGATTGTGTAACATGAAAAAGCTACGACACATATCGTTGCGACCGATCCTCCTTCAAGAAAGTTGTGGCTCTGATGACTTCTTCAGTATGTAAACACCGCCTTCTAACACCGTTTGGCCTTCCGAAAACATTAAAATTGGTCATATTTAACACCAATTTTGACCATCAAGAAGGCAAAATCATACTAAATTAGAAACTGATTTTATGGAATTTATGCGTTTTCGAGTGCGTCTTTATTTTTATTTCTTATGACGGGAAAGAATTTAGTTTTTGTATCAGTTTATGCATGAAGATAAACAAAATTGTTATTTTACTTTCCGTAACCTTCCTTTCTGTACAAGTCGACAACTAAAGTGTTGCCAGTCGAGAAGTTGGTGTAAATAACAGCGACAAATCTAATAGACAATAATAAAACTTCATAAAGGGAGGTTACAGTTGGAAGGAAAACAAATAACGCATTATCTGTTACAACGATCGGTTTCGATTGAGCCAATAAATTACATTTCTATCGAACTGATCTAACAAAATTGCTCAATTACTGTAAATGTTATTATTAGTTGTCACTATCAGTTCAAATAAAATCTAATCGTAATTCCCGAGAAATTATATTTAATCGTGCGAATAATCAGGATCGTATTATCCAGTAGATTTGTAAGCCAAACTTGTTATTTCGTTTACTGACTTATTAAAAGTTTATAAAAAGAATAAGTATAGGAAGGCTACGGCCTGATTTCAACTATCCTTATTTTTTTGTCTCGGAATAGTTGGAGACTGAGTTTTGTGAAGGTCTTGCTCTAGTATTAGATTAGATTAGATTCTTCGAGGTGGCTTTCTTTCTAGATTTACTCTAGTATACCAGGTGGTGCATTGACGTGACGTTGGAAACAGAGGAACTAATCCCATACAAATTTTGAACTGTCCAAAAATGACTCCCCTATTGATTTTACAGCCCAATCGAAAATAGGTTTTTAAGGTACGCGCACACTGACCAGCGCACGGTGGGGTATTTGCATGAAAAAGATGATCGAAATTCGAAAAAGCAAATGTGTTTAAGATTTCCCAAAAAAAGATAAATGATAAGTTAAATCATGTGTGCTATGGGTGGGTTTAGTTGCATTCATTTGTTTCAACGAAACGTCAAAGTTGTTACTTCTCACAGATACGAGGTAAATGGCTAAATTTTATGTTTAAAATTATAAATTGTTGTTGTTCTTGTGCTCTTTTTACATTTATATTATTGTTTTGATTGAAAATGGCTCAGCAAGCTGCAGGTATGTATTCTACAAAAACGTATTATTTATTTTGATATTCTCTATACTAACGATGTGTTTTTGCAACTAAAAGTTAGGCGTTCAGAAAATTTGATTAAATTTGTGACATTTTTATTATACTTAGAGATTTAGTTGCGCATTTCGCAGAATTCAGCATATTGTCTATATACGTTTTACTTAGTAAACATTGGGTTTTCATACAGTAAAATAAAATACTACGACTTTTTGCGACTTTGCTGATAAAATAAGAAAAACATTCTTGGTTTCCTCTAATTTGCCAATCAGTGATATACTAATGCGAGGTGTAAACCGCGATGGCATTGTGTACAAAGCGATCACATTAGTGCCATTAGCAGTATAGCACAATTTGACATTAATAACGACTTTAGTGGTATGGGCATTGCTCGCGGATCAGTCGTAGCATTAGTAGTATTAGTTGCGATATTATTACTGGCGTTAGTGGCATTGACCGTGGAAACACTGGAACACTGATTTTTCTTTCTTTTTTTAGGATCGACGAATTATCCTTTATTTTGTTCATATTATTTCCTCTTTAATTGAAAATAGCAATAATTTATATAACGTCTACATAAAAAAATTTCGTTGAACTATCTGTGTCAAATACCCCACTGTGCAGCGCCGCACTCGCCTTATGCCGCAACCGCACATGCGGCATTTGGCGATCTCCGATCAAGGCTTCCCCGATTTCCTATGTGTGTGGATGGGAAAGTCGGAGTTCAGCGACTCGATCGACGACGAGAACGAGCGCTCGTCTCTATGTTGTTGCTATCAGAGCCCGCATGTGTGGATGGAAAGGCGAAGTCCGATCACGAGCGCTCGGCAGTTGACGAGCGCTCGGAGTTCGCTAAATGCCGCATGTGCGGTTCCGGCATATATATATATTACATGTTAATGTCGACATTAGCCGGACATCGGACTTTAACCATAACATATACACTTGTAATTGGTAGTTTACTGACAGACGATATAAAAAGTACCGGTTTTTTTCTTTGTCTAGAAACCAGCGTGTTATTATTGTAATTTGTAATACTGTTTATTAGTTGAGAATCAATATAGTTGATTAAGAAATATCGAGTGCATTATTTCTATATAAATATATTACAGGATTTCAGTCATATCGCTGGAAATTTTTTTTAGTTTGTAAAATCGTACGGTTAAAAGAAAACTGCTTAAATGTCGAAAAACGTTTAGAGAAAGAATTGACTTAAAATATAAAAAAATGTGAAATAAAACTTTTAGAAATGTATATGTGTATATATGTATTTATATTTTTGTGACATTATTATTTAAGTGTCTTTTAAATCCTACCGTGGAAAAGTTGTGTAAAGAACATTGACTGGATTTTTAGTGAAATGGCACTAGACCACCTGTTTAAAAATGTAAGGGTAGGTTTCGTTTGAACATAATTTGTATTTATTTTTAGATCTTGTAAGAAACCAATTAAATTTGGTCGCGTCTTAAAAAAAATCGACTCAATATTTTTAGATATTGGCCTCCCTACAATAATAACCACGAGCCGCCACTGGAATTTAGATTGGTTTACATTTGAAAACGATTAGTTAAAATAAAGCCATTGGTAGTCTGAAATTCTTTTGGTATCAACAGCGAATCATTGTCTGCCACATTCAAAAGAAACATTGATAATGCTTAATGTTTCTTTTGATTGATACTTTGAATGATTATTAAAATATATTCGATACCAATTAAACTTTTAGTTACGTAATCGAGGGCGCAATTTTTAAATTCATTGTTGCCAACCATAGACATATTCAGCGCCGGGCTGTCTAACTGGAATTTAAATTTCACGCTGAGGATTTAGGTGGTAGCTCTGCTGAAAAA